TAAATTCTGTTGGAAAGAGGACTCAAAATTCTCAATTTTGACAGAAGAACCAACATGAGATGATTTTTCGGGAATTTTATAAAATTGCAAGAAGTGGACTGTTTTTTAGAGTCTCAGGACCAGATTTTTAAACAAAATATCCAAGCCCTAAAAACACACAATGAGGGGCTAATAAAATTATCACAAACTCTAAACATGCCAAATATCCTACACTAAATTCAGATTTGAGAAATAAATAAATTTGATATTTTTTTTAAATTAGAGAAGTTGCAGCAGTGCATAATTTGACAAATTTGCAAGACAAAGTCACTAGATCATACCCACACTTTCATACACATCAAAAACCCTATGTACCATTAATATGCAACACAAGACGACATAGTAGACAATAGGATGAGATGGATGAAGAATTGGAGAAGATAAGGGAGAGATGTGTTCTTACCTTGACTCAAGAAGGCACATTTTCTTCCTTTTTTTTTTTTTTTTTTTTTTTTTTTTTTTTTTTCTCTAGTTCCCCCTAATCACACTCTTCTTCTCTCATCCTCTCCTTGGGCGGCTGAAATGAGTGTATAAGGAATTGAGGCAATGCTCTCAATTTATAGGAAATGAGCCTTTAGCTTAATGACTAAGAAAGGAAATAAATATCTAGATATTTTCTCCACTAATTTGCTCAAATATATATTAAAATAATAATAAACATATTTATTTAAAGATATTTATTGATATTTATTTGCTCAAATAAATAATAAAGATTCAAAGAACTAATAAATATTCAAATAGGCTAAAAAAAAATAAAATGTATGAATTAATGTAGAGACTAAGGGTTAAAATAAATAAAAACTAAGTGTTAGGCGTATTTTCAAATATAAAAATGGCATTCTAGGATATAATTATAATACAAAATAAAATACAGAAAAAATATTCTTTATTGGACCATTTTGTAAAATTTTATGAAATTTGGGACTATAATGCAATTAACCTAAGGCTTAGGGTTTCAAGTGTAATTACCAAAATTAGGGTCTCTACAACCTATCCTCCTTAAATAAATTTCGTCATCGAAATTAAATCGTATCTCATGTCTCAAATAGTTGTGAATAATTTGCCTACATTGCGTCTTCACATTCCCAGGTGAACTCTTTAATATCATGGTGACGTTAGAGTATCTTAAGAAGTTGAATTGTCTCTCCTCACAAATTTTTTTCTTGTCTGTCTATAATTGCTACTGGTCCTTCCTCAAAGGTAGCGTCTTTATTGAGTTGGGTTTATTTCTAGTTGATGATGTGAGAAGGGTGCATTATGTACTTTCGCAACATAGATACGTGGAAAATATCATGTACTCCAGCCAATTGTGGGAGTAGAGCCAATTTGTACGCAACCTCTCCAATTTTATGAAGTATTTCGAAGGGTCCGATATATCGAGGTGATAATTTTCCTTTCTTTCCAAAATGAAGGATCCCTTGACAGGCTGAATTTTCAAGAAAACATGATCACCGACAGCGAAAGTTAGAGGTCTTCTCATTTTATTTGCATAACTACTTTTGACGATCTTGAGCTGCCACTAATCTTTAACAAACAAGTTTCATCTTTTCTGTAGTTTTTTTCACGATCTCTAGGCCCGATAGGCTCGCTTCTCCAACTTCGGTCCAACAAACTGGTAATCTGCTGGGTCGACCATGTAGTGCTTTGAATGGATCCATGCTAATGTTGGCCTCGAAACTGTTATTGTACGTGAACTCCACCAATGGTAGGTGTCGCTCCCAACTCCCTTTGAAATCCATCACACAAGCTCTCAACATATCTTCCAAAGTCTGAATGGTGTGTTCTGACTGTCATTTAGTTTGAGGACGAGAGGCGGTACTAAAGCATAATTCGGTTCCCAATGCTTCTTGTAAGCTTCCTCAGAATAGGGAGGTGAAATGCGGGTCTCGATCTAACACAATTGATACGGAATTTCGTGTAGTCTGACAATTTCTTTCATGTAGAGATGGCACAACGATGTCAAGGTGTTTGAGATTTTATATGGCAAAAAGTGTGCAATTTTTATCAAACGATAGACTATGACCCATATAACATCGTGTCCCCTATGTGACCTAGGTAATCCAGTGACGAAGTCCATTGTTACATGTTCCCATGTCCATTCTGATGTCGATAAAGGCTATAGCATCCCTCTAGGTCTCTGGTATTCTGTCTTTACTTGCTGACACGTAAGGCATTTGGCTACTAATTGAGCCACATCTTTCTTTATTCTGTTCCACCAGTATTGGTGTTTGCTTGCCTTACCATACTTATGTATATTTCCTCTCATATGTTTGTCTCTTGCTCTTTTATATTACCGAATTACCGAATGTGACTAACTTGCTTATCAAAATATCAAACAAATAGGAAATAAAAAGGGGTTGGTAATGATAAGTCTTGCGTAAACGGTCTAAGCAAACCCTTAGGATGGCACGAATGTATTCAGACTCTAAGTGGTGGTTTCAGGGTGTAAACGAGCCCTTTGGTATGATATATGTAGGGTGTAAGCGAGCCCTAGGCACGATTTGGTATGGTATGTTCAGGGTGTAAGCGAGCCCTAGGCACGATTTGGGTGTAAGCGAGCCCATTTGTTTGGCTGTACCTTTTGAGGTCCATCAGTGTCACTGCTCGATATATCATCGGTGTGGGTGTTGGTGGTAAGGTCTACAAAGCAGCAAAAGGGGGAGTTCTGAATAGTCTAGTGTCCAATCCTTATGGTTGGGAGAAAGGATCTCTTTGGGGGATTCTAGATGTCTAGTCTAACTACTAATTCAGGGAACCTTATTATAGTATTGTATTATGCGTTACTTGATTTGTTCTACATATGGTTGATTGGTTGTTAGAAGGTTGGAGGGTGTATGTGTTCTTACTGGGCATTCCAAGCTCATGGTGTGTTATGCCAGGTGATGAAACAGTTTAAAGTGTTGAAGGTTATTTTGAAGGAAAATAAGATGAAGTGTTGGAGCTGTGGTTCATTTGAAGACTTAGACTAGTTGTTTTTTTCCTGTAATGTTTGGCAATGTTTTGTAATCTTGTAATGGACCATAAATGAATGATCTGTGATATTAACTCTAGTTATATATGTATATTAACATGTTTTGGTTATCTATCCTACTTGTATTGTGTTATTGTACTTATTTAACAACCCGGAAATTGGGGCGTTACAATTACACAAACTTTCAGCAAACATGTTCAGTCTCCCTTCACCTTTACACAATGATCGATGGAGGAAGTGTCTTCATTCCTTCTACCTCCAGCAATAGATGCCCCTTTACTAGTCCAAATTGAAATTCCTATGGGTCAAGGGACCTCAATTTTGCCCAAACCAGTCACCATGGACATGGAAGTTTAAACCTTCTACAATTCCTGTCCTGTCAGAGAATTCAAGTATTTCTTTCACAGATGGCATTCTCTATGCATGTGTTTACCTTATCCTTTATTTCCTTTGCCTCATCATGCTTTTGATTACAGCTTCATCATGCTTTTGATTACTCTGACAGATTGGCATATCCACTCACAACTTAGTCACTACTGATATGGAGGTACAAACCACACCATCTCAGAGTCCCCCAAGAGAAGCATTGGCCACTTTCATCTTGCCCAACATTGAAACTTCTACTATAGCTTCAACAGAGATAACACAATGTTAATTTTTCACAACTTGAACCAGTTATTGACTTAAACTTTCTATTGCCACAGTCCATAGCTACTCCTCTCCAAGACTTAGTTTTGGGCATCTCTGCTGTTCAACAAACTATTGCCAAACTAACTATTGAGGAAAGATTGAAGCAACTGTCTAGTGAGGAGCAAGAATTGATAGACCAATTCTTCAAAATACTTGGCCAACCCCTGGATGATTTGGCTTTTTTCCACACCACAGCTTTGTCTGACTGTTTGCAAGCCATTGCACCTCTGATGCCTCAACTCTTTGACCCAGACCAAGTGTAGGCTTTCCAAACCTTCCTCTTAGGGTTTCCACAACACCTAGTGGCTATCAACTAGTTCCTTGTCGAGCCAAAAAACATTGAAACCCAAGTGGACCAAGTGAGAAAAGCAGTTGATGCTTTGATTGAGGCTTCCACCAGATCACAAGCCCTCATTACTCAACTTGCCATCTTCACAGCAGAAGAGGATCAATTGGAGGCTCAATTGGCACATATGAGAGTTCAAAAAGCTGTTGCTGAACAGGAACATGCCAATCTTATCCAACAAATTCCAAGCCTTCTTGCTCAAGAAGAAGGTGGTCCTCCTGCCATTAGACAAGCTCAAACTAGACTTGGGCAGAATAAAATTAGGCACCAAATTGCCCTTCAAGCCTGGAATAGGCTTTCAATGTACTTTCAAAAAGATTAGGCCAGTTGTAATCATCTTGTTTGTATTTTTGACATAATTCTTAATGAACGATCTATCATATTTACTCGGCTTTTCCTGGCTTGTCATATATGCTCATTTTCATGCTTTTATGACTTATTCATGCATTCCCACATGGTTAGATAGTATTTCTTTAGGTACTTGCCATTAATGACCCTTCTGTGTGGCTCACCTTCTAAAGAGGCAAGATGATAAGCTCACCATCTAAGGACGTTGTGTATTTTAAATGGACCTTCTCAATTTGGGGACCACTTGCCATATTCTGGGCTTTTTAAGCCAATTGGTAAAATAGTTTTCCACACCAACTCTCCTTCAGAAAACACTTTACTTTTTACTTTCTTGTTATAGCTTCTCTTAACTTTCTTCTTCTGGGCTATCAAATGATTAAAGGCCATAATCCTTTTTTCCTCTAAGTCTTGCAACTCAATCACCATAGTTTCAGTATATTCATCCATAGAGATATCTAAATGTCCAGCTAATATAACTAGACCTGACTGTCACTTCCAAGGGCAACACAGCATCATATGCCCATATACTAACTCATATGGGGTTATACTTGTGTTATCTCACTTGGAATTTCTGTAAGCACAAAGCACTTCTGACAAGAGATTATGTTAATCCCTAGGATTGTCCTCAATCATTCTTTTTAAAGTATTCTTGACAACCTTGTTTGTTGCCTCAGCTTGCCCATTTGCCTGGGCGTAATAGGATAGGGAATTCAATATCTGAATGTCATATTCTATGGCAAACCCCTTAATCTTATCCCCATTGAACATTGTGCCTTGATCGACAGTAATAGACTGGGGTAAACCAAACCTATGAATCATATTCTTTTTTAAGAACTCAATGACTTGAATTTGTGTCACCACTTTTAAGGGCACCGTTTCCACCAATTTGGTAAAGTAATCAGTGGCCACCAATAGATAAGAATGCGCTTTTGAAGAAGCTGGGAAAATTTTCCCAATTAAGTCCATTGCCTATCCTCTAAAAGGCCAAGGCTTCATAACTCAATGATGGTTTGTAGCTGGTACCCTTTGAATATTGCCATGTTTCTGGCAACTCAAACATCCTTTTGCATAGATTATGCAATCTTTTCTGATAGATGGCTAAAAATAACCATATCTATCAATCAACCATCTCATCTTATCACCAGCATAATGAGCCCCACAAATTCCCTCATGTGCTTTAGCTATGGCTTTCATTTGGTCTAATTTACCAATACAAAGCAAAGTCAAACCATCATGTGCCTTCCTAAATAAGTTATCTCCCATGATAGCATAATTTAGGGCATGATATCTTATTTGCCTATCATTCCCTTCACTAGGATTTGACAGGTACTTTATTAAAGGAAACCTCCAATCTTTCTCTGTCACATCCAAAGTAAAAATTGGCAAGAAGTTTCTACACCTATCCCTAAGTGCAGAAGAGTTTATGTTCTTAATTCGAACAACCTTTTTTTGGGCTCCCTTATGAATTTTTAACCCAGAAGCTGCTTGGACCATCTCATTGGCCTCTTTATTCTCCAGCCTGTATCTATGTGTGAATGTGATATGGTCAAAGAAACTGATTAACCATTTAACCTCAGCTACATACTCCTTTAGAGCACCACTTACACACTTGAACTCACCTAAAACTTGTTTAATGACAGACTGTGAATCCCCAAAAGCTTGAAGGCTTCTAATTTTGAATTCTATGGCCAACTCTAGGCCAATTATCAGGACTTCATACTCAGCTTGATTACAAGATTGAATATGTCGTCCTTCCAATCGATATGCAAACTTGTACATTTGCTTGTTTGGTGCAATCAGCATAATATATGCTCCAACTCATTCATCTGTCTTTGAACCATCAAACATCAATTTCCAAGGTTCATTCTCCACCATATTGACTTCATATAAATCTAAATCGACAGATGTACAAGGGTGTTCTGTTAGAAAATCAGCCAAGGCTTGTCCTTTGGCTGCTTTCTGTGGCACATATTTGAGACAATATTCAATTAGTGCCAACATCCATTTGCCTTGCCTTCCTCTCAAAATTGGCTTGGACAACATATATTTAATCACATCTGTTTGTGCAACCACAAACAGTTTTGCAGGTAGCATATAATGCCTCAGTTTAATAGCTGCAAAATAAAGTGTCAGACATATCTTCTTAATAGAGTTGTACCTGGTCTTAACATCATTTAACCTTCTACTTAGGTAATAGATGGCTTGTTCATGACCCATATCATTTTCTTAAGCCAATAGACAACCAATCGACAGGTTAGAAGCTGAGATTTACAACTTCAAAGGTTTACCTGCCACTAGGGGGATAAGGACTGGAGGGTTTGCCAAGTATCTTTTGAGTAAATCAAAAGCTTCTTGATGGCATGCCTCCTACTTAAACTCATGGTTTGACTTGATTTTTATCAGAAGAGAAAATGCTAAAGTTTTCTTAGCCAGATTGGCTATGAATTTTCTTAAAAAATTTATTTTTCCAAAGAAACTTTGCTACCCTTTTTTATTAGTTGGAGGTTTTACTTTCAAAATTGCCTGGGCTTTAATAGCACCCATTTCTATCTCTTTGTGGTGTACTAAAAAGCCTAAAAAAATTCTAGCAGATACCCTAAATGCACACTTTAAGGGGTTTATCTTGAGTTTGTAGATCCTTATTCTTTAAAATGTCTACTGCAAATGTTCCAAATGTTCATCAAAATTGTCAGATTTGATGGCTACATTATCTATGTAGACTTTTAAGTATTTTCCAATCAAATCATGGAAAATGAAATTCATTGCCCTCTGGTATGTTGCTCTTGCATTCTTTAATCCAAAAGGCATGACTACCTATTCAAATGTCCCCAAAGCACTAGGACACCTGAAGTCTGTCTTATGTGTATCCTCTAGATTAATAAAAATCTGATTATACCCAGTATGACCATCCATAAAGGACAAAATCTTGTTCTTGGCTGCTGAGTCTACTAACAAGTCAGCAACCGGCATAGGATATTCATCCTTGGGAGTTGCTAGGTTCAGGTTCCTAAAGTCTATGCACACTCTTAACTTACCATTTTTCTTCATAATAGGGATACTATTATGTAGTCATTCAACATACCTGTCTATTTTAATAAAACTTGCTTTGAGTAACCTTTCGATTTCCTCTTTGACCAATAAGGTGACTTTATTGGTCATCCTTCTTGGGGGTTGTTTATGAGGAAGGAAATTTCCTTTAATTGGGAGCCTATGCTCTACCAATGCTTTATCTAATCCAGGCATTTCTTCATAGTTCCATGCAAAGCAATCCATATACTCATAAACCAAACCAACTAGCTTGCTCTTGCATTTATTAAATTGATTAGCATTTACATAGATGGGCCTCTTACAGGCTTTACTCCCTAAGTTATATTCCTATAAAGGATCTTGTACATTTGCCTTGAGGTCATCAAGTTTGGCAGGAGCAACCTTCAGATGTTCCAGTTGCACCTCTTTATAACTCAAAGGGCTACTGTCGATAACACATTCTGTCCAGGAACAATTGGGCAAACACTTAGGGCTAAACTTACTTTCTAAGAAGAAATAAAAAAATGCCTAGAAAAAGTAGATCTAATTACAATAGCTGTCTCATCCAGCTTGTCGTCTTCTATCACTTGTACCTGTATTACTCTTGATATTCCATAACCTCCTCTATCACAGTCATTTTCTGCTTCTACATCAGGCTTGGCTTGGCTAATTCCTGGCTTGTTTGCTTGAAAACTTCCTCAATGAAGGCCTTGAACTCATCATTAGTCAAACCTTTCCCTTGGGACTTAACCTCTTCCTCATCAATCACAACTGGACCCAAATTCTCATCATGCAACACAGTTTCTATATTATTAACATCAGCAACAAAAGGATTTGTATCTACCCAGTGAACTTCCATTCCTCCTTTGTTACCTTGACCATCACTGGTTAAAAAGATCAGTGCCTGGTGTAGAGAAGAGGGTACACACCCATTAAGGTGTATCCAATCTCTACCTAGTAGCACCTTGTAGTTAGAGGTAGAATCTATTACAAAGAAAGTTGTTCCCATTAACCTAGAACCAATCTGACGTCGTAAGGCCACTACTCCTTTGGCCTCATATGGCCCACTAGCGAAATTACATATATTCACATCAGTAGGAAGCAAGTCATCGACAGATTTTCAAATAGCTTTCAGTTTTCTAGAAGGAAGAATGTTGACAATAACCCCATTATCGACCAATACCCTTTCCACTAGCACTCCATCAAGGTAAGCCTTGACATATAAAGACCTTAAATGCTTGATGAGCTTGTCTTCTAGTTTTTGCATCATTGCTAGCGGAACTGCTGGTTCAGTCAAATCTTCGACATCACTTGCCAATTTATCTGGCTGATTTGGCTTAGCCTGAAACCTTTGAGGGATGGCCGTAATCATATTGTAATCCTTAGATGGAGGTAAACAACTAAAGTGAATGGCAGCCAACTTCTCCCCAAAGTCACCACAAGAACTATTTGACTTGACTTCATCTTTTCTAATTCCTTAATTAACATTCATGTTATCAATGGCCTTCTCCTGGTCTTGAAATCCTTTCATTGCCCCATTTTTCTCATTGCTGTCATTTTCACTAGACATTAAATCCCTCTCTAGTTCTTTCAACTTCTATTTCAACAAAGCTTTTTCAGAAAGTTTCTCAACAGGTCTGCCATCTGTCTTTTCTGGCTCCATTTTTCTTTTTAAAATCTGAACTGGTTGTACTAGATGGGCTCTAGAAGTTGAACCCTTCACTTCTTTCCCTCCAGCAACAGGAACCAATCCATCTCTAGTCCGTACTAAATCTTGCCTTTTGGTGGGCTTGTCCCCCGCAATTGTAGACATCATGGCATGGAACTTCCTTTGTTCCCTCATTTTCTGAGTTCTTGTTTCTCCTATTGGTCTCCAACCAATCATGGAAAACTTTGGATGAGACACTCCTTGCCATCCTAGATGGGATGGTACTAGAGGCTTTACTATTCTTGGTTGAACTAGTTGCATATCTGGCCTCATTCTTGGGCCACGATACTACTGTTGAAATTCCCTAAATGGTTTCACAAACTGTTGCTACCCTCCATATGGCCTTCCAGTCTGTTGATGGCCAATATGTGGTGCAACAGATTGCTGTTGCTGGCCATTATATGGCCTAGTCAGTACTTTTGGACTTCTATAGGGCTTAGGACCGTTTTGCTATTTGAGCATGGCCCTTACATTACTTGATCCACCAAAGCATGGATGAACAAGAGCTCCTTGGAACAAAAATGGAGCATCATCCTTACCATAGGTCTTTGTAGGACCAAATATTCCTGGGTCTGTCCTATCATAAAACTGACAATCATTGTCGAAAATCTGCAGATCACCACTACCCATGATATTGAACCTCAGGCCAACATTCTTTCCAATTTTTTGAACTCTATCAATCACAATGGCCTTGGCTCTTTCTTTCTCAGTACCACATCTGAAACAATAGAACCTCTCACTAGGCACTCTTTGAACTTTTTTTCCTTTTGCTTCTTTTGTCATCTTTTCCATTCTCTCTTTATGGAGCTTCTCTAATTCCACCAAGAGAACTCTGGGGTTCTTCTCTTTCTTCTTTTGATCAGTTGACTGGAAGTCAGTTGATACCATGTTGATCTCCACTATATTTGGGAATGGATCACTATCAACTGCCATGACCCCTTTATCCGTTTCAGCATAATTTAGCATTCCTTTCTGAATTAAATCCTGAACACAATTTCAAAATGTAACACAGTTATTAGTGGAATGCCTGAAAGAATTATGCCACTTAAAATACTCCTTGCCAACCGTATCCTTTTCTCTGGGAGTGTTGTGGCCAGGAGTCAAAGTCAAAAATTTGTTTGCTAATAACTCATCAAACAATGCATCTGTTTTTGATAAGTCAAAAGAATACTGTCTATGTGACACAGCCACATTTTTTTTGGTTGGTTATGTTGCTGGCATACTCACAGGC